AGGTGGTGACCCAGCAGCATCAGATGGTGACCCAGCAGCATCAGGTGGTGACCCAGCAGCGTCAGGCGGTGACCCAGCAGCATCAGGTGGTGACCCAGCATCGTCAGGTGGTGACCCAGCATCGTCAGGTGGTGACCCAGCATCGTCAGGTGGTGACCCAGCATCGTCAGGTGGTGATCCAGCAGCATCAGGTCAGAATCCAGATGCTCAAGGAGTTGGACTCAAAAAACAACTTGTGGTGGACTTGATTGATGATGTAGATCCAATAAATGATGAGGATAAAACTAGAATTGATGACATGATAGATAGAGAATGTACCATTGATGGTTCCAGTTCAAGTAGTGTTCCTTTTCCATTTGAGGTGGCGCAGGATGATGGCCGTGTCTCAATAACAGGGGAAGCTGGTGCAAAACACATGTTATCTAAAATAGCAAAAGATAAAGCCACTGTCCCCACTCAACCAATATCAGATTTGAATGTTGGCCTGCATTCAGTTTCTGTCAGAGATGATCATGATGACTCTAATGAACAAATACAACATTCAGGAATGGGATGGGGTAACAATACTCATACAGAAGGTCCCTCTTCCATGTTACCAGATGATAAAAACAGTCAAATTGTTGATGATTTAATCAGCTTTGATGATGTGATTGCTAGTGATGCGGCTCCTTCTGTCCCCATGTCAACACTGTCCCAAGATCCTTTGAGTACTTTATATGACTTGTCATACCAAGATATTGAAGATTTTACAGATAACTTTGCAAACTTAATATCAGATGATGGTGCATTTGGACCAGTTTATGAAGGTGGGTGTGGCACTCAACTCAAATGTGCATATTAATGATACACTTGTTTTTTACTATTTTTCGTCTTTATCTCTGCATTTACATGTTTGTATGAAGAACTGCAAATCGGATTTCAATAAAATTTTATAAGTGCATGAATGCTGCAGGATATGCACAGATCTGATTAGATTACCTAGTTTACATATTAATTAGCCAATTTTAAACTATTCTACTTGTTGTTAAATGCAACATGTTAACATAGATATTCTGAGATAATTCTCATGCCTGATTAGTTTTCAGTTGCTGTCTAAAATTTACAGCATACAGAAGTTATACTGATCAAAGTCTGGCCTGTGACATTGTGTATTGACAAAGTTATTTATCGTCTTCAATAAATTCTGTCATGCATTGCTGTTTTGTTGTTTTGGAAGTGTGCTACACACAAATAAGGAGTACGTAATGTTCTTTGTTCAAAGTTTACTTAGACAAAGTGGTAACATGAGTTAAGTAATCATTCTGTCTTTGTTTGTCGAATCAATTACTTGATGACACCCGAAGAGTCCACAGAACTGCTAAACACTATTCGGCTTTGATGTACGGGTATCTTGTGAATACTGTAGCTGTAGCATTTATTAAGGTGCACATATTACTTGACAAATAAAAGTCTTCAAACATAATTAAACTGTCAATACAGCCATAACTAAGTTTAGCCCATCTTTAGCACAGATATTATAATACTAACATTATTACTGTTATTGCTTTCAAATTGTGCAGAAATATATTAATCCCCAAGGCAGCACACCAGAGTTTATTAATCTCCAAGGCAGCACACCAGAGTTTATTAATCTCCAAGGCAGCACACCAGAGTTCTTTCTAAGATTTCTTTGCTTATATATTGCTACACAGGTGTATTTAAACATAATGGTCCACATCATATGCAGAAGGTGGCCATCAAGAAACTCAGTCTAAATAAGGGAGAGCATGGTGAAAGGGAGTATAAACGAGTGAGTTTTATTCATATGCTGGGTAATAAACAAAATTGAGCCATTATTGTTGCATGTACAAAATTTATTCCCACTAAAAATTAGATTAAAGATGGC